TGCTTGTCCATAAATGTGAGTGTAACCCCCGCAGCACTACTACACACAGCTGGAAATTATCACAAACAGCATCCTCAGGTTTTAACCTCCATATCAAATTATTTTAAACCCATCCAATACAAAATTGACAGTCTAAATGCCTGAGTTCTTTTTTCAAGTGATGAAATCCATTAAAAATGTTTTAGAGCATCTTCCAGCACACTTAGGATCTCCGTACACAGTTTAAACACATTCTAAAGCCATCAAAAATCTCGAGTTCCGCAACTTCAACTAATTTTCAAGTTATTTCCTTTGCCATCTTCAATTATTCTACAAGTTAACGTTTTAAATGATAGTGGTAGCTTCTCTTTGGAATTATTCAGACGCCTATCACAGTTTACTTCTTACTTTTTATGTTCCTCCAGAGTGAAAGGACACCAGATTCAGAGGCTGTTATTATGACTAATCATAATCAAGTAATGGCATGATATCAGCTTTTAGATGTTTGTGTAAAGCAATTACTTACAAGCTTTTAAAAATACCCAAACCATATCAGAGTAACTTTGAATTTTAAAATTACTCCTTTGCATGCTGTGCCCTAGCACACTGCTTCACCACTGAAAGAAGTCAGAGGTCCTTACACTGAAGCCCAGCTGTCTTACGGTACTCCGAAGACCAGACTCAACCTGCTATCAGCATGAAGCTCCAGAACATGCTCCTAGAAGTCATTTTCTCTCTCGCTATTTTCGTAGCTTACATATAGCTACAAAATATTTAATGTGCTTAGGAGTATTATCCTCCTTGTTCTGCTCTCACCGACTAATGAGATTAGTCATGTGTCCCTCCCTTATTTTTTTAAAACATATGAATTGCTTTATGTAGCCTTAGACAACAGTGTTTTCCAAATGCATATACCCAACTGAATCCTCTTTAAAGGATTCTTTTTCCAATTCCCCCTCTTATTACTGGTGTTTTCTTTTGACCTGATCTAGTTGCATCATTTTTTTAAAAATAAGTCCCAAACGAGGCTTGAGCTCCAACTATGAGCAAACGATAGTACAGACTACCTCATTTGATACAAATATTCCACATGGAGGCACAGATTCCTTCTGTAATGATAGCTGTCAGTTGGTTTTACAAGCCAAACTGAAAAATTAAGAACCAGTTAAAAAGAGAAAAGTCAAGTACAATTAAAGTTCAATTTGTCTGAATTGATGAACCTTCTCTGTATTACAACCGTTTCAGAAGGAAAAGCTTAATTAAAAAAAAAAAAAACACACCACAACAACAAAAAAACCCAACCATCAACCACCTTGCAAACTATACCACCTTAAATCTTCCCGGTGAAGGACAGAGCCCACAAAGAATTGATAATTACCACATCTGCAAACTACCCACGTGAGAACTCACTGGTGTCAGTCCCACAGAACCCGATCTGCTTCCTCTCGCTATGAGCTAGAGCTGCTAATTTTGTCTTTTTTGCCTGTGGTGCCCATCAGTGTACCCACGCGTTTCTGCACACAGGCACCTGTGCTAATAACCCGGAAGCAGCTCCTTAGGTAACGCGTTAATTCCCTCTGATCACACCCTACTGAAACAATGGTGCATTCTGCATTATAATGATGGAAGAAAAACATTCCATTTTCTAAAAGGCTTACATTATTGCACATAACCTTTGGGATTTGGGCAAAAATGTCTGGACGATTTTAGCTCCCTACTTTGTCTGTATTTTACTGCCCTTTCAAATGAAGACACTTAAGTCCACGTCTCTATCAAAAGTTGTCTTGTATTTTGACTGCCAGAAAAATCCATGCATTTGCTCAGTATTTGCAAGTAGAACTACTGCTCCAAATAAATTAATCTTTTCAGAATACTTCAGCAGATGGTTCTCCATCCTTTGAAGAATGCATGTAATTGAATCTGATTGCTTGTAAGAGCAAGAACCAACATCACTGAAATGGGTGGGGGAGCAAGCGTAGGTTTTTTCCCTTGATGGGCTCTGCCAATGAATAATCTTGGCCTCCGATTCTCATCCTGCAGCCCAGCACTCAATTCTCCTTCAGCACAACTACTGCCCTCCTAAGCTACAGGTAATTCTTGAGTGCAAATGAAGTCCAGAAAAAACACCTTGAAGATCGGTATTGGTTTTGAACTTGTCGGACCAGGTACCTACGTGTCACTCAAATCTGAAAATCACATGCACCAATTAATTATTCCAGCAACCCAAAAGAGAGTATTGGTAGAGATGTGCTCACTGGAGAAAAAGGCCAGCCACAGCCACTCGCTGTTGGAATACGTGCTGCCAGCTACAACAGCGATTACACACCTTGTAGTTCTGTAACTCAACCAGCACGCAAGCAAACCCAGGTCATCCCATCCTGCCCAGTTCTTCTCCTAAGAAGAGGATGCACATCAACAGTAAAAAGGCCAAACAGAGGATGTGGCACAGAAAGCACAATTGCTACCTCTATGTACAGAACAGACAAGTTTTAGCAGAAAGGCTGAGCCTGCAACTCCCTGAACAGAAGGGGAGTTAAAGATATCATTACAGATGTTGAATGGAAGAGGTTTCAAATAAACTAGTGTCATTTCTAATCTAGTTCAGTCCATCAGCTTAAGACTGTCCATCATTTGCCTAAATACCACATAAAGTGACAAACGTTTTTTGTAACAATTAAGTCTCTGATGTTTGAATTCAAATTGTGATGTTGTTAAATCCATACCACTTGAAGGCTCCTGTAAGAGCCAGATTTAACTCTGCACTGCAAGCTAATGACATCAGCAGTGGCCAGCAGTGCAGCCATTTGGCACACCCACCGAGAAAAGGAAGCACTCCCACCCTGCCATCTCTCCCAGCTGACACACAACTCACTAGGTCTAAAAGGAGCCATATTATTCCCTCAAAACCAAAACCAAACACCCCCCCATCCCCCAAAAAAACTCAAAACTCTCAAACCCAATGGAATTGATTGAGAGGCTGGGGATCAGGAAAACACACACACCCCACGTAAAAAAAATTCCCACCTGCTCCAAAGCAGCCCCATGCCAAGCATGAGAAGAATCACCAGGATTAACTGGGTGACCCTCCCTCCCCACTCCCCCACACAGCCAGTGACTCCTGGCCCTGCAGCAAACAAGCACATGTACAAAGCTCTCTTTGCTGCCCCAGTTTGTCAAGCAGTTGTAAGAAAAAAGGTTTAAACAGGTATTTTTGGGTACTGAGATGTAAAGTCACAGAAGTTGCTTGGGTGTTATTTATAAAAATTATCCTACCCAAGCCCACAGTGGCAGACTGACACTACCACAGCCCTTCTTAACCCACACTCCTCGGAACCTCCTTCCCCTTCACTCGATGCCTTTGCCTAGCCATGCTGCAGGTTCCTGCTGCGTTCTCTATCAAGCTGTACACGACCCTAAAATCTCCTTCGACTCCTGATGCCAAAACACCACGGAGCGCACCAGATGTGACCACACCTGCATCTCTCCTTTCACCCATTTAAAAGCCACCCCAGAGTACAATGGGCAACCACGTGAGGAACCTTAATGTCAATGGTAACTACCACTGGCATAAGGAATACGCTGCCAGTTTTCCAGTGACACTCCCAATTCTGGGCTACACTTTACTGTGAAACTAGACAGAAAAACTTCTCAAAGTACATGAAAAGATAAACAGTAATGTCCCAGCCTCTGCCTGAAGGTTGCGTAGAAGCTTGAAAAGGACAAGAGGGCCAAGCCTAATCAGCACACTGTACAGCGGACATCTGTGTTCTTAGTCTTCATCTTCACCTAACAATCACCAATTTGCAGAAGCTGTATTTTAGTTACTGTGGACCTACGAGGACGATTGAGATGTAGACAGCCTTTCTGGCAACCTACCCATACGCTGTTAAGACTCTCCCAGATTACAACCAGTCTCTGCACCACAAAATTAATTTCTGGATCAATGGCTTTACTACAACTGTGCTAAACACTGAATCTTGTGTGTTTATGAGATGACGTAAGTCAAACAGGACAGAACCCCTTGCAGCACAAGCACACATGCAGCTTACCTGCTGTCAGTCTCAATGAAAGAAGGTATTCTGCCTTACGTCAGCTCTCAACAAGCGTTCCCAACCCTCCTCCCCACGCCTTTGCAAAAACTGTAATACAAAACCAAGCAGAGGCTGGCAGGATGGCAGGTATGAGTGTAAGCAAGGTGCTTCCCTCATGAACAAGCCACGCAGCCGTACGTTAGTTGCTGCACAGGGAAAGGTGTTTTTCTTTCATTTCTAAACTGACGGTGATCCACCCTGCGTGTTGTTTTACGCTGCGTGGCAAGAAGTAGTAAAGAGTTCCAGCAAACGAAGTTTTGTCCTTCCTTCCTATGCTACAGAACAATCGTCATGTCAACACATGGGCTGAGCAACAAACACGTAGAGCATGGTAGGCTTTGTTCCATCCAGAGCTGTAATCTCATTCAGAAAACAGTGAGCTTATTACACTGACAAAGCTGACTCGTCCACGTTTAGGCTCTGACTTGGTTATGAACAAGTGCAGTAGAAAATCTACCACGCACACGAGCCCTTTAATAAAAGGATACGGCCCACAGGGAGAGAGATTCCAAGATACAGAACACGACTCCAGGTTGTTAAAACGACCACATTTCCATACTGAAGATAAGCCCAGTGTCTGACTGCAGTAAACATGCACAAGCCACAGTTTGGCTCCCTTGGGAAGGCTTTCATGATCCCAACAAGATGTCTTACAAAGAACTCAAAAAAAACCCCCCACCAACCCAAACCAACCAAAAACCAGCAAACAGAAAGAGCCACTACACAGAAAAAAAAAATCTGCATCACACACTACAAAGAAAAAGTTGCAGAGAAGTGAGTCTCTTCATCAACTTGCATTACTTTAATTCAGAAAGCCTTTTTCTGAAGGAAGGGGAAGGAGGTTGCAGATTTTCTGTTCAGTTAACTAGGAGCAGCAAACTCCCTTCTCCCTCCCCTACAACTACGAGCTTCACACATCTGCATTGTTACCTTCACTTTTTCTCTTCTCAGGCAGCAGAAAAGACAATTTTCATCAAAAGACCAATCAGAAACACCTTCAGGCTCACAGTCTGTAAATCAGAGGAATAGCAAATTACTTCATATTCATAAACCACGACACAACTGGAGCCCAAAAGAGAAATGCCGAATTAAATACCTGTTTCACAACATTCTCGCCTGCATTCTGAGGATGCAGGCTTCATTTCGGCCATTTTTCTAAATCCCCAGATTACCAAACCGCATACGTTTTATCTATGCACAACAAATCTGTTTTTCTGAGCACTGCCAAATACACTCCCAGCTACATAAAGATGAACGCACACTCATTAGTAATTTTAGCCAATATGAAACTAACTGTGAGCACTGCCTGGGGGAGGGGGAAAAAAGCACAAATCACCACGGTAACACACATTTTCTAGAGGCAGAGCTGGGGCTGCTTCTGTCATTAGAAATGCAGAACAAGATACAAACAGAGAGATTGAATACCTTTAAACAAACTGAGATCTTTTAATAATCCAGGTCCAAACAGGCCTTCTAGAATACTTTCAAACCCTAAAAGCAAATAAAAGAATTGTTAGCTTTCTAGATTAAATACGTCACTCCAAGAATATTCACAATAGCAGTTCTATATTTATCTGTTCCAGGAACAGAGCTCAACGTGTTTTCTCTAAGTATTACAAGATGCATGGGTCAATTGCGATGACTGAACTACTGACAAATCATAGCACAATCTACAGTCCACCGACTCCTGTACCTCTGTCAATAGCTAGGTTAAAAACAAATAACGTTACAACATTGAAATAAACAATTTCAAAAAGAAAATAGGAAGTTGTAGGTTCTACAAAGTGACCAGGTACATTTTCCCATACAAAACAATTCTCATGCTTAAGCCTCAGAACTGAAATAAGGGACGTTTTCCCAAATAAAAACACTACATTCTTCCATCTGAGTGGCATTCAGTTACTTTTCTGAATTTCAGCAAGCATTAGCATCAGTGTTTCCTGAAGAGTTACAGGTCTGAGGAGAGAAAATTCAAAGGAAAGGGATTCAGCAGCGCCATGCCACTAAGGAACCCAATTCCAATCACAGATCCGCATCTAAGATACACAGTTCGATTTACTTCAATGCCATGATTTATGCCTCACTTAAAATAAATCTAACCAATTTTAGTTTATTCCAAAAGAGGAAAAACCTTTACTGAAATTACTGCCATTATTTGGAAATGTTAAATCAATATTACACTAAACCCCTGCTGGCAGTAAAATCTACAGAGCTATTAACTACCCGGTGCGGTGAGAAGACAGGTTAGCAGAGTGAATATGGGAAGTACAAAGGCTACTTTAAGGGGGACAGACAAATTCCACTTGCTTGTGAAAATGTGTTCCCAGTATGACCATAAAACTCAAGACTACACCTTACTGTAATTTTTTCTCCCCATTAATACTTTTGCTTTGTAGGTTTAATATTGGTTTGCATACAGCCAGGGGCAGCTTCTCCTACTCGCCTGAATCTTTGAGAGGCAGCAGAAGAAATGCCAAAAAATTAAAATACAGTTTTAAATTTACAGTAACTCACATGGGTGAATCAGGGACAGACACACTACCTGAAACAGCCCTTTTAAGAAACCAGTCAAAATCCAAATGATCACATGCTATGAAGGAAATCACTGCGAAAAAACAGTCATTCTAAAATAAGTCTGACTGTATACAGATCTAATATCTCAGCTACCTTCTGGGCAGCAGTCTTCAAAAGGAAAGGACAAGTAGCATCCCTCTGGGTGTCAGCAAGAGTGACAGTGCTCGAACATCTTTAGGTAGTAGTGAAGGACCCTACAGAATCTGCAGCCTACCACAGGACTCAGATGGCCAAAGCATGGCCAGGGCACACCATCATCCTTAATCTAATGCCTATCAGAAACTGATCCTAAAAAAAACTCATCTCAGAAAGGACTGACTGGAGAACAAAAAAAAAAAAGGTGAAGGTGACAGTGAAATAGCAGTCCAGAGTAAAGAGAATTAAGGGAGAGATTAGAAAACAAGGTAGAAGAGGAAAACCGCAAAAAAAACACCCCATTGAACAGCACCTTGTCAGGCAGAGAACTGGCACTGCCTCCAAAAAAGCCAATTCAGGCTTCAGGAAGTGGCAGGAACAGTGGGAAAGGGCCGACCAACCTGACCTAGAAGAAAAATAGGAGAATCAGGGTATTGACCCATAAGTTTAGAACGCTGACCCTTTTATGGGTAGAGCCCCCTCAGAATTTGTATCTGAAATGCAACCATATGGAAAACAGCTACTCAACCTCATTCGTTGTCTTTTCAGTTTAAAAATGATATTATATATAGGAATAAAAATCAGAAGAGCTCAGAAAATTTACTCAAACTCACCACTCTTAAAATAGTAACTGCCAGTGACTCATGCCCCACAGTTTGCCATGTAGGCAATTGCACACTGAAGTCCCTGCCAAGTTTTGCAGCTTGGATATTGTACAATCCTAGTTTGCTAGCCCACTGTTCTCAGGGATGCTAATGCCACTCGGGTTTTATTAATATTAAATATTGGATTTAGCAGTTGCATAGCAACAGCAGAACATCTTATGTGCAACGCTTGACATTAAAAAAGGCAAATAAGGGAAGTATGAATGTATTCAAAAATTATACTAAAGACTGGCGAAACCACCACGAAGCTGAGCCCTACTCCGTCCCCACCCCCCAGACGCAAAGTGCAAAGCGGCAGAGACAGCACGAGCCCCGCAACGTGGCGTTCAGCCACGTGGGCCTCCAGAAGAGCAACCGCGTACGCTTCATCACGCGCAACACACCGAAAACCAAAAAGTCTAGAAAAAGGAGCTGCCTACTTGTTACGGTATTTTTCCTCTCCATTGTCACTGCTCTCAGAAGCTGGAAAAGAACATTTCTTTTCCCACCGATGGTCCTTTTCCGTTTGGCAGATGACACCTTCTGCGTTTCAAGTGGAACAGAATGAACATGGCTGCCTCGGCTCGACCCTGGATTCCGCGTTTTCACCATCTCTACTGCAGCGCCTGACAGCTCCCCCCAGCTGGAGAGCAGCGCCAGGGGAGAAGGTGCAGGAATAGCAGAGGAGAGGAAAAGGGATGAAGATACTAGTATCTTAGAGCCTTCCCTTCCATACGTTCCTCGCAATTAAAGCGGCCGCACGTTTAACCCTTACAGCGCTACTGCTGACCGATGCGAGGAAAACGCCTTCTGGGAGTTAGCGTGAGGGTTGAGAAAAAAAGGGGTTACTCTACCAAGTGTAAAATACCTGCCCTGTCTCAGAAGGCTCTCCAGCAGGCGAGGAATGACGAGGGGGGGGAAAAAAAAATCCTGGGAAGAACACAGAAAACCCTCAGGACTGAAGCAAGGGTGGAGTAACTTTCTGAATGCACATCTACTGCGGTCTCACTGCTGTCGGCCCCAAAAGGAGAGCAGCGTTTCAAAAACACTGTTCTCCAAAACATCCGCGGACAGAAATCAGAATGTGGATGTGCCATTCTTAAGCTAAGAGTAGCAAGCACAGAAATTAAGAAAAATATTCTAATAAAAAAGAAGAGCTGACTGTGCGATTTCCAGCATGGGCAAATTTCACTAGTTTTGCCTCTGCACCTGTTCTATTTTTCATCTTTTCTGGAACTTGTCTCCTCCCTTCTGTAACCAAGCATTTTAAGTCATAAATTTAAACTGTAATTAGCTTGTTGGTTAAGAGTTAAACACAACGGTTTGATTACAAGCTTTGAAAAAAAAATTAAAAATCCAGTTAGATCCTCATAACATCTTTCACCTTAAAACTGCGAGCGCTTTAATGACCAAGTAGGCACCAGGCTCCTTGAGATAACACTACAGAGGAGTTGAGAGTCCAAGGGAGGACTCTGCAGGCTGATCTAGAGCCATGTGGATTGGTCAAAGACACACTCTCCCCTATAAAAAGAAACAGGGATGCAAGATGTTCCGGAGGAGCCAGGGATGCATTTCTGGACTGCCTAACAGCTGAAACAATGCTTTTCTCCCTGCGACAGCACAGCTCAAACACACCCTTTAATACTCAAAACAATTCAGCCCTACACATCTATAGAGTCAAGACAGTGAAGCTTTTTCCACTGACTAGAAGTCAAATAATCTTGAGGGCAGACAGGAAAAGAAAGTCTACAATGCAGCTTTACTATTAAATAAACTGTTAGAGAACTAGAAAAAAAATCAACATAGCAAAAGTCCTTGAAGGGGGAAAATAAACATCCATAGTTACCAACTCTTCAGCCCTAATCCGTGAATATCAATTTAACCTGTGAATATTGATTTGTAAACCAGATCGCAACAGACTAAATAATACCAGGCAAGGCACAAGTTAGGCACAGCAGATATTGTAGACCAACTGCAATAGAAAATAAGGCAACTGATTCGTCAGCGTTTATTTATTATAATCAATCAGCCTAATACATAGCAATTTGTACTTTAAAGGACAGCTTCTAAAAGCTGGAAATTGAGTCACATCAATTAAGATGATAGCTGTCTGCATCTTTTGTTTAAATTTCTTAATTAGTTAAGAGCTGTTTAATAGAAACCTCAAAACAGTATGATGGGGGAAAAACTCTGATCTGTTTAAAAAAATATCAAAACCCAACAAAACCTAGAAATGCCAAAACCACGATGTTACTGAGAGTGAAAACAGAGACTTTGGAAGAGGAAGAAGAGGGACAGGGGGCTTCAGAGCAGAGAACATAAATCAGAATTCAGAAATGTTACAAAGGTCAGAGCATGGAGACACACGGAGCTTTAAAGTAAGCCAAGATAAAACAAAAAGAGGGGGCACATACGCAGAATACCAAAAAAAAAAAATCTGTAAGAACACAACAGGGTAGTAACAAACGTTCACTAGAATGGCATACGATCGTTCACCAAAATTCATCAACGTGATGGTATTTAACACTTGTTAGTTAACAGTCTTAAAATGATACAAGGTGATTTTTTTTTTTCCAGTTACTCAAAGAATATTTGCAGACATATTTAATTCCAGAAAGTCTTGGAATACTGAGAAAGTTCCAGTGGGCTGAGGGCAGAAATCATCCCTTTGAAATGTCAAAACATTAAATAGGTAAGTACTGAGGTCTCAACTTGGTAGAGGTTTTCAAAACCAAGGAAGAGCTCAGAGGCCTACTGAGGAATTAACAGCAAAACCAGTTTTTGTAAGCCCACGATGACTGGAAGGATCTTATTTAATTTGACTTCCATAAAACTAAAAAATTTAGTAACAGTAACAGGTTTGATATAATATTTTTAGATTTATGTAACATTTTTGGGCTGGCACACCACATCTTGACTAAAACCAGCCTATTGAACAACAAAGAAATAACAAAAACAAACAAACCAAACGAACAAAAATAAGGCAAATACATATAAACCAGATTAAAGACTGATTAAGTGACTGCTCTTGAAACATCGGTGTGAGTGGGAAACCACTGCTAGGCAGGTCCATCAGGTATTGGTTCTCGGCCCTACGCCATTTCACATTTTAGTTGAGGCCTTGGAGAAGGCAGTCACTGAATTTGCAGGAGATACGAAGACAGGAAGGACAGTAAATAACAAAAGGCCCAGGTCACAGCGGCTGCTTACCAAAGCAAATGCAATTAAACACTACTTGGAGTAGTGGGGGCGGAGGGGAATGGAGAAAGCCACAAAACACACCTCTAGGAACCGGAAAAACAGCTTCTCCAAGACGTACCCAGACCCAGCGGCTGAAATTGGAACCTGATCAAACTCAGCCAGACATAAGACACCCTTATTTTCACAAGGGTCCAATTGAAAACACCAGACACGCACTCCAGGACCAGACCAAGACTTTCCCTAGCCTAGGATTCTGGAGGTGTTTAGGGAAGCATGGGCTGGCTGCTAACATCTACTCCCCTTGTACTCCCCCACCACTTACATTCATCATGTCAGGAGTCTCACTAACCAGTAAGAAGCAAGAGCCACCACCATCACATCTGATTTTTATTGGAATTCTCATGCCTAGATTTTCTGGTCAAGATTGGATATATTTATCCACAGCTCTGGGATTTCAAGCAGGAATTAATTCAGAAAAATCCTACAGCCTGTGTGTAACACGGGAATTCTGTCCCTTTCAGGACAAAAATCTATTAAGCTTGAATGTTTCAGTCACAGGCATCTTAATAGAAAAGCAAGACCCAGCAACAAGGGAGAGGAAAAAAAGTCACAGGACAGTTATTAATACACACAAAGTCTCAGGACATGCACATAATTATAAGTTGTGAATATTCTTTTATTCGTGTAACAAAATAAAAGAACCTCCACCTATGATAAGAGATCTCGTTATCTGAATGGAGCCTGATCAACTACAAGTGAAATCCACTTTCTCTCAGCTTCCTGGGGAACAGCAAAAGCAAGAGCCATGCATCTCCAGCAACTTTTCAAAGTTTGTGCTGCTACATTTTTGTTAATGAAACTACACCACCCAGGGACTTAATGCAGATGTTGGGGCGACCTTACTGCAGCCTCCCAGTACCTGAAGGGCCTACAAGGAAGCTGGGAGGGGACTTTTTACAAGGGCCTGTAGTGACAGGACAAGGGGGAACAGGTTTAAATTGAAAGTGGGGAGGTTTAGACTAGATATCAGGAAGGAATTCTTCCCGGAGAGGGTGATGAAGCAGTGGAACAGGTTGCCCAGAGATGTTGTGGATGCACCATCCCTGGAAGTGTTCAAGGCCAGGCTGGATGAGGCTTTGAGCAACCTGGTCTAGTGGAAGGTGTCCCTGCCCATGGCAGGGGGGTGGGACTAGATGGGCTTTAAGGTCCCTTCCAACCCAAACCATTCTGTGATTCTATGTCCCTGCTCCAGAGACAACAGATGCTTTAGTAAATCCAAGGCCTTTCCAGGGACAGAACCAGGGTATTAATATTTAAGGTAAGAGCAATACAGAAACATGCGTACAGAAGGAAAGAACTAAGGACATTAAGAGAAGTACTGATTGAAAGAAGAACAGGTATAACCAAGAACTATATAGCAACATGTAGCTCTTCTATAGCTTTTTGCTCTAGAACACCTTGTGTTCCCAAGACAAAATGTGTGGTAACACTGCTGAGGTCCCTAAAAAGGCCCTTGGAGCTCAAGAGAAAAAGAATCCTTAGACTAATGTTTTATTTGCTGTACAACAGCATCTCCAGTAGAGAAGTTTCACTGGAAGCAATGAAGAAGCCAACAAGGTACACGTTTTATCAAACGGCCATTTCAGTGTTCCAGTAACATACCACAGCAATAAGCTGAGAAATCACAAAATGGGACAAAACACTACTACGGCAGCTGACAAGTACTGTTGATAAAAGTGCGTCTGACCATCCATCCTGCAAGACTTCACTAAAATTCCACTACTGGTCTGTAATTTTAATAAAGAGAAAGAAACTGCAACAGGCCAAACTCAGTCTTCTCTCCAGCACCCCTCTCAACCAAGCAATCCCTTTTCCTCTGAAAATCAAGTCTAAGCCCATTTTCTCTGATTACTTGCAGCAAGGCACTGAAAAGTTAATGAGCTAAGTATGACAGAGAAACAGCCACATATCTGGACTACAGCGTTGCAATGCACTTCACAAGAAAAATCCCCTGAAAGAGGGTAGATCTCTCCCCTCTAGAGGGGGAAAAAGCCGAGGCAAAGAAAGCAAGTTATCAGGCTGTTCTGCAATGCCATCTCCTGCCCCCTCCCTTGAGGGGTACTTTTGCGCATGTGATCTGGTATCACGAATATCGTTACTTGAAGGCACACAACCTCCTTATCTCTAATCAAGTCTCAGCAGCAGAATTCGAGAAAAGCCAAGGACCCTGCAGTGGCTGTCTCAACATCACCCCTAGACACAGCAATTGCTCTGGCAGACTGAGCCGTAATCTTCGTGGGGATTTGCGGGGGTGGGAAGATCCTCCGGTTTGCGGATGCTGCATCACTAATCTGCCCGGTCGTCCCAGTCAAGGGTTATGGGCTTTTGTCTTACGTTGTAACTCAAGATCA